CACGTCCAGGTGGTGGAGTGATACCAATGGCGTCACTGGATGCGCCGCCAGTAGCCCCAATAGGCTGCCGTAAACGTCGTACTATTACCGCCCACAACACAACACACTGCGTTCGTTAGTCTTAACAAATACAAAAGTTTTTAGTAAAAAATTTAACAATTTTTTTCAAAAATATTTATTTTGCTACATTTTGTAGTTGGGTGCTGACCCTAGACTAACATATTTTTCCTTGTGCCTATCCTCTTCTGATGTCATAATTTTTCATGTTACGTCAAAATTCAGAGAAGGTAGTTAGATCTTTTTGGAAGTAAGGGATTAAATAAACAGTAACAACAAAAGCCTTTTTTTAAGGAAAAGTACTCATTCATTAACACACGAAAAATGGAAAAACATTGTCAAAGTAAACCTTTATTACATGGGTGAAGCTTAACAGAACTTTTGGATAAGGATAACTTTCCTGTCAAAAAAAAGATTTCATCCTTGTACTTTTTCTGACATTTCATCTTGTATTTTCTTTTCTATCTAATCTATATATTTTTACTAAAATAACGATTTAATTCCAAACTTTAGTTTATAATGATTTAATTTCTATAGTTTAAAATTTTGTAATAATTTAGTCTATGAAAAATTTTAATAAAATTAAGTGACAAAGTTTTATCATATAACAATTTGGTCATTGATTTATCAATTTATATATAAGAAATTTAACAAAAAAAAATAAAAAAAATCACGATAAGAATTAAATCGTTACAAATTTTAAATTACAGATACTTTATTACATATCAAAGTTCAATATAAATATTAAATTGTTACAAATATTTTTCTTCACATAACTTTTATCTTCGGTGGTGGAGAGAGAACTTTATTTTTTAAAAGAAAATATCTAGGAAAACACTCCTCTCCCCACCATCATACATGATTCTGACCATTAGAAAAGATTTGACAGTTCATTATTTTTATTAATTTTTTTTTTCTATTTTTACATTTCTGGAAGTGAAGTATTTTATTTTTCTATCAAATTTTGGATAAGTCTAGCGTAAAAGAGAAAAAAGAAATAAGACGAAACTAGTGACCTCACTTGACCAAAACAACGACACTACCTACCAAATATTCCAGTTTTCAAAAATTCATCAAAAAACCAAAACCGAAACCAAGCGA